TTGAGTTTGAATCAGCCCTAAACTAGTCTGACCAAACCATTGACCGAATTGCATCGTTGGTCATTGATTGTTGACTTTGACCGTTGATTGTTGATCGTTGACTTTAACCATTGATCGTTGATTGTTGCTTTTGATCGTTGACTTTTTCTATTGACTATTTTCATTGTTCTATACCTTTATGTTTTTTGACATCCTAAGTTTGATTTTGTCAAATGCTGACACAAAAGCTCTGTTTTGCATCATTTATTGCTTAAATTCTTAATTATGCTAAGTAAACTGTGAGATTTTGGACTCACTTTTTGGTGTTATTTTTTGAAAATGAACACGTGTCTCTGCATCGTTATCCTATAGATCCTAACCATTTCCATTCATTTTAGTTCGATTTTACACATTCGTCTCGAGATACGCATAAGTGTTATTTAGTGACTTTATAGTAAATTTCAATTTATATTTAGTGATTTTATAGTAAATTTCAATTTAGATATATGGTTTTCGTATTCATAGAGTGGTATTGTTTTTAGTTACCCATTCTGCAGGACCTAGTGCAATCGATTATGGGAAGTGTAAGGCTTAGTTGGCACCCATTAGCTACTATAGGTGTGTCTGCTTGACTTGTTTGATAACTTTAACATATTATGCTATTATGATGTATGATTTTATATGTGCCCATGTACGTATTCTAGTTACGTTTATATGGATTATGATTGATTTTTTATTAATGTTACAACACTTTTAATCTGTATGTTGATGCATTTTTTATTTTGCATGAGATTATATCCCGTCGTGATTCTACATGGCATTATATCCCTTGTCCTGATTCTACACGGAATTATATCCCCATCCTGATTCTGAATGGGATTATATTCACGTCCTAATTCTACATGAGATTATATCCTTATCCTATTTCTATTTGGGTCCTCTTCAAAGGACTAAATCCCTATTCTTATGTTTCTGACTAGGATCCTATTCAGATCTATCATGTCATCCTCGATGAGAGGTAAAGTTGTATGAGTTTCTTGTTTTATCTTTTCGGTAATGGCCAATTGGTGGTTTACTATTGTTTGATTGTATATTGCATCATTAAGTCATTTCTGTTTTACTTTAGAGGAAACATGAGTTTTATCGCTCACTCTTTTAGTTTCTATCTTTTCAGACCCTTTTGGCTTTGATGATACAACTGGTACTTTGAGGATCGACTAGTCGAATATTTTCACTTTTTGATATTGTATGGACGATTTCAAATTTCGTTTTCCCTAATTATACCATTATTTTATTTTCATATATTTATATGGGACTTTGGGTTATTATGTTTTTACTGATTTTGGACTTTTTAACTCGTGTTATTATACACATATATTTATACTATGAACCTTTACTACTATTTTTGGATCATATTGTTTTTCTGAAAATGATGTTATAATATGAAAATGATGTTATAATATTGTAGCTTACAAAGTTTAGAGGAGCGATCAGGGAGCTTTCTTGTCATCATAGGCTTGGCTTTGCTTTACAATATAAAGGTCCCTTATTTCAAGGCAACCTCTGAAGCTTTTGAGAAGGCAACTCCTATAATTGTCAGCTGATAAATATTATCTTAAATTTTTCTCAGTGACTTACTTGTTTTTAGAGGCTACCTCAAGTGTTCGTGATGTTATGGTGGTGATAATTTTTCATGATAACGATGCAATGGTAGTGATGCCTAAAGGAGACATTGGACAAGTTCTTTGTCTATATATTTGATCTGTTTCTTGGTTGTAGTTGCATAGGCTTGAATTGGGGGCAAGTGGAAAGGGCATGCTTCAAGTGAGCAATGCTCTAGTCAATGCTACTTGTCTTTTCGCATGCTCGTAGGAAGAGTAATCCATATAAGAAGAGCACGTGACACCATCCATGTTGTTGTTTGAGGAATCTTCAGGCGACATGCAAACTATGCGTCTCATTTTTGTAGTCATCTCCTAAATATAACACAACATGTTATGTACAATTTGAAGAAGGATGGTGTTTTTTATTTTTCATTTATATAGGTATATTCCGACTTATTATTTTTTTATGGGGAGTATTCCACACTCATCGTATCATTTATTAATGGGACCAGATTAGTTGTGCTAACTAATGGTGGTTCACCTTTTTGATAAGGAGGTAGAATAAAGGAGAATAAGGAGGTAAAATAGAGGAGAGTAAGAGTGAGGTGGTTTCATTGAGGTTGTGTCTCGTCTATCGATTTTTTTTAAGAAATTTTATAATGACCCTTAATGCATGTGTCAATCTTAAGGTCATAATGACTACTCGTAAACTAGCTACTAAGTAGATATGATCAGACAACGATGTATTTGACTCTAGTAGGTCACATTGACTTATTAGAGGTCACGTCAAGCTAGTTGTGACTTCATGATGGATTTTATATATTTTAATTTTCTCTTTCGTAAATGTTTTCTCTATATATTTTTTTGAAAATTTTAAGTATTAGAAATTCAGAAATATTTTATAATTCATCGATTTTTGAATAACGTGTGCAGAAAACATTTTAAAATATTATTAAATTGAATGAGTGAATATATTATTAATTGGTTAACTAATAATATTATATATGTTAAAATATTTTCAAATAGAAGGTTCAACTTAGTTCAAAACAATCTTTTTACAGACGTAATAAAAGAAATTCTAAATTTTTCCTGTGGTAAGCAAAAGACTCAGAATGGATTGATATAATGATAATAATATTTTTAATATTTATATTATATGTGAAAATATTTTTATTTAATTTTTTTAAAATTATATTATATTATTATAGTGAAGTGATAAAAAAGTTATCTGATATTTTAATGAATTTGTATTAAATCTTTAATTGAATGATTTTTAATTATTTATTTTAAAATATAAAAATACAAAAAATTAATACTTAATTTTTAACCATCTACCTAATTAATCTATGTTTAGTTAATTCATCTACGTACTTAATTTCTAAATTTTATAAACAGGTTGTTTGAATTCTAATTCATTTGATATTATTATTACAATTTATAAAACTTAAATTTCAATGTGCTCAAATAGTTATTTTTAATTTTAAAATGTAAAAATCGTGAATAATCGAAATATTATGTAAAAGAAATATCAATAAAAAATTCATACCCTATTAAAAGAGAATCACATTATCATTAAAAAATTATGTTCGTGTACCGTAATTTAGAAATATCAACAAACACCGATCACAACTAAAAATAAATCTATATCCCAATTGTACGTGGTCTTTAAATGGCTTCTTCTCTTTTTATAGTTTATTTGATGATGCGATTAGATTTATTCGTATCTATTGTTTATCCGAGTTTATTTTGTTATATTTTTTTAACTTTTTTCCTTATATGATTTTAAGTGACTAATTTTATTGCTTATAAAAATATCTTTTTATGTATTTAATTTACGATTGTAATTATAAACATTCATTATAATTTAAATATTTTTTATTTTTAATAAAATTCACTGCTTCTGTGAAACAAACAAATAAATCCTAGTCATATAAAGATGTTATCATAATTACTTTCACAAGAAAAGATTAATATATTTTGGATAATTTTAAATGCCTCTCACTTCCTTAGTTTTTTCCATAGTTCTTTTCCTCTACTCCAATTATTCCTTTATTATTTTGTTTCGAGGGTGACAATATTAATATATATTAGTTGTCGATAGTCAATATTTTTTTATTTTTATATTATATCTTTGTTTCTTTTTTTTTAATTTTAATATTTGCTAATTGTAATTTTATGAAATGTATTTCTCTTAAAAACTCTAAAGTTTTCCTTTCTCTTTCTTCATTCTTGTTTGACAGTCTACAAAAATAATTTTTGTGTTGGTTATCGCCGTTATTTATTATTTTTTTATTTTTTATATTAAATCTTTGTTTTTGTTTTATTTTTTAATTTTAAATAACTATATTTTTATGACACATTTTTTATTTTTCGGTTGTTTGATCCTTGTTTTAATTTACATTTTTTTTTCATTGTTGAATTTGACATCACGGCTAATCAAGGTGATGCTTATTTATTATCATGTTGATCTTCTCAACTTTGGAACCTTGGATTGGATTTGGATACGTGATTTATGTTTGTGGATAGTTTTTTTTTCACGTTGCTCGACTCTGATTTGTGATTTGTCGATGGTCTTTCAGTAGTTTGATCTCCTTTTGTGATTCATTTGTCGACGCAGTCAAATCGGTTCGTATACAGTGGCGAAACCACAACTTGGTGAGAGTGGGCACGTTCCCACCTTGAAATCTGAATTTTCTTCGATTAGTTACTTATTTTACTAATGGTGACCATCCTGAATTTTTTCGTGCCCACCTTAAAATCTAAGTTTTATTTGAATAGTTATTTATTTTATGGACGGTTTTCACCATGAAATTTTATTTGTACCAATGTCATTTAAAAATTTTATGTTGTTAACATATGTGTGCCCACCCTGAAATATATTTCTAGATCCGTCAGTGTTCGTATCTATATTTTGTTTGAGTTTTTTTGTTAGGTTTTTTAACCTTTTTTTCTTTTATGATCCTAGTGTGATCTTTTCTTAAGTGACTAGTTTTAATGTTAATCATTATAAAAAATATTATAATTATATATTTAGTTTACGTTTAAGATTAGAAACCTTCATTGTAATTATGAATGGTTCATCTATTTAATAAAACTAACGAATTTTATAAAAAAAAAACAATACACAATTAAAATTTCATGGAATACTATAATTTAAAACTATAAATATTTTAATATTGATTATCCACTATCTAACGATGTGAAGTAATTATATTTAACACAAATAGGAATATTGTTTTTTGTTACCCTCTCCGTTTTAAGGTTTCATCCTAATTAATCCAGACTAAAATTAATCCGGACCAATCACATACTTAATTTTAGTAGGTAAATCTCTTAATAGAAATTTTTTGTATACACAAGAACTCGAACTAGATACCTTGCTTAAGTGTTATCAAACTACTTACCAATGGAAAAGCCCCGTTGGTTAACACAAATATATTTAATTATTAGTTTATTTAAAAATATTTAAAGGATGTTAATGTACTGTATAGATATTTTAGGTTTATAGGGAATGATAAAATCAGTTGAAAGTGTTAGATGTCCTCCTGGCTGCGTTGTTCAGTAAGCCGGAAGTGGCACCGGAGGAAGGAGTGAATGCCTTTCTTATTTTGACAATATTCCAAGCAGTGTTTGCGAAATGCCCTGCTGTTGCTAGCGCATCTTCTGTGGCTTCCCCTGCTCTTTCTCCGTACCTGCACTTTCATATTTCAAAATGTCAAACCAAAACATCATTTAAGTTCAGATTGATTTGAATTATTTGAAGTTTGTTGCTCGATTTTGGGTTAATTGATATTTTAAGTACAGATAATTTATAAATTTGAATTAAATGTGAGTTTATTATCTTTTATAACTAAATTAAATTATATAGAATTTAAATATAATCGAATCAAATCAGATTTTGAGAGTTTAAGTAAGAAATAATAAGTCCCCTAATAAAATAGAATTTGTTTTGTTAAAAAAATTAACGGTAAACATTTAAAAAAAATCAGTGATGTAATATTATTTTATGGAGATACATCAGAATCATTGTTAATTTTTAACAGTGAGTAATCAAAATAAATACGAAACGTAATATTAAACATAATTTTAAAAAAAATCGGGTGACCAAATAAGAATAAAAATAAAAGCTAGTCTACTAAACAAGTATATACCCAAAAAATGAAAAATAGTAGTAGCACTAAGGGTCGTGTTACCTTTCTGTCATCATTCTGGTTGCAGCAGTAGATGTTGCAGATAAAGCTTGCTTCTCAGCAACTTCAGCGGCGTCAAGAACCTTGTCTGCCAAACATCAAACCAAAAATGCAGTCGCCATATATATCACTCTCTTTTAGAGGTGAGAAAAAAATAAATAAATAAATCGAATGGAATTGGGGTACTAAAAAGCTTAGGTTTGATGTTACTCACTAACAGCATCAAGCGAGGCCAGAAGAACTTGGCCTGGAACCATGGAGAGCAAAGCTTTCCCAGGCCTGGAATTCACCAGAGGACCCATCACTGTTCCACTAGCCGCACCAACCATATCAAGCATCGTTTTGCTCATCTTTTCAGTCATTTTCGACACATTTCTCACTCTGCATCACACCCAATAATAACATTAACATCAATCTTTTCTCTACTAACTAGGGTTGTAAATGAGCCGAGTCGAGTTTGAACATCATTGAACTTGACTCGATTTGAAAAGTGTAAAATTGAGTTCGACACAATTTGAAAACTCGTGAGTTTCATATTATCAACTTGACACAAACTCAAAATATTAAAAATTGAAGTTTGAATCGAAAGCTTGCGAGCTTAAAGTTTTCAAGTTCAACTCGACTCGAGCTCGAAAAAATTTGAACTCGAAATATTCCCATAATTAACTTGATTGAAACTCAGACTCAAACTAGAACCTGAACCTTAAGTATATGAAAATATTATATTATATATATATTTTCTTAAAAAGAATAACACATAAATGTTAATAATATTAATAATTAAATTCAAAACTTCAATATATTATTTTTTTTCAATTGCTCATGAACTCTTTTAGTCGGATATTAAATAACTCGCTTCAATTTATTAAGAATTTAAGTCATCTCAATTTCAAATCGAATCAATTCAATATAGGAATAAGACAAGCTATGATAGAATCGAAGTTGAATAGTTAGCGACTATCTCATCTCATTTACCACGTTGTAATGCAAAAATTAGGTCAAAAGTTGACAAAATATTAATAGAGAAGAAATACCGTTTAAGGTTATTGTTGGGTTCCATGTTTTTGTTGCTGTTACTTGGTGTGATCCCATAAGTCTTGGCTGGAGGTTGATTTAGAAGGATTTCTCCTCCTTTCTGAACCTGGCTAGTATAAGCGTTACTGCACTGAAAGATTCCCTTGACAATCTGTCCCGTCCCTCCAGCGATGGCCTTGGCCAAAACATTGTTATAATCATCAATCCTCGGAGCATAAGCCTTCCAATCCACATATTTGTCTCCGGTCGAAGCCATACCGGAGAAGCACGAGTGTTCCTTCAGAAACGAATCCAAAGACCCCAAGCTTTTCCCATGGCCGTTCCGCTCGAAGGTCACGCCATAGCTGAGTGGCTTCCCATCTTTCACCGGCAACGAAAACAGGTAGTGAAACGAATCGAGCTTGATCACCGGCTCGTCGTTCGTCAATGGCCATTGAAGATGGTCGGTGACTTTAACGATGGTGGCGAGCGGAACGTCGTCGTCTAATATCTTAACGAGTTTGAAGTCGCCTCTGGCGAGTTCCAAGGCTTCTCCTTGGTCCATTAAGTAGACCGTGCATCGTGGGATCTGCAGCAGAAGGTCTTGTTTGAGGTTCTTGGATACTGGTTCGGCTGAGAAACCTTGCATTGGAGCGGAGGTTTTGGAAGTCTTAGGCTTGAAGGTAAAGCAGCACATTTTCTTTGTTTTGTTGCGCTTATGGTCTTGCTATCGTTTTCTTCAAGGGAACCGAGTTCGGATATAAAGGCAGGAGGGAATAAAAGAAAGATAGTGGAAGGTTTCGCTGTGATTGATTCTATTGTTTTCTAACTTTATTCTCAGGTAAGGGGTGTTCCTTAAGGTAGAAGCCATTACTTAGATTGAAATGCAATTAATTGCATACAATAAATAAATGATATTTAATCTATAAGAAGATGTTTTATTCACTATTAAAAGTTACAAAATACTTCTTTAATTTTAGGATGTTGTTTCTCGAGTCCTTGATTTTTAAAAGTTACAAAATGGTCACCGGACTATTCATATGTTTCAAACTTGTCTCTTTTAGTTAAATGATTGTGGGTCTTTTGAGCTAGACGTTGACATGTTAACTGATATATGATAAAATTTGATTATATAATTGTTTAAGCTGCATTTATAGATCGACTCTTTGTTTACATAACGACAATGCTAATAGAATTCATTAAAATATGATTTTATCATATCATAGTAAACAAATTAATGTTCAGTTTAGACGTCCATCAATGTAAAGATCAAATTTGAAACATATGAATAGTCGGATTATTATTTTATATCTTTTAATAGTTGAGGGCTCAACAAAATAATGACCTATAGTCGGGGGACCATTTGTGTGCTTTACCCAAAATCTAATAAATTATTTCTTTATATGTTTATTGATATTGTAAACAGTAAAATTGATGTGTCAACTAAATTCATACTATAAAATTTAACAAATCTCCGTTAAAATTAAGTTTTTTTATTCAAAAAAAATCTTTGATCCAAATAAAAACAAAACAATAAAGAAACATTCAAATAGGAAGAACATATGCTGTATCATATTTAAAACCATATATTCTGTCGGATTATAAAAGTTGAAGTTAGCATTTAGATAAGTTTTTATTCTCGTTTTCATAACTTCATATTTATCCACAAGTTAGAGCATGGTAAGTTATACTATAAAGTTGAATTTAATTTTCTTTAAAATGTTATTAAAAAGAATATTCATATGCATCAATTTAACGACCTCAATAATTAAGGAATTGTTGTTAACTCTTGATGTCTCGAATTCGAACACTACGTATATAGAGATATAGACGTTTATTATCAAATGATTAAATTTTCAAACATATATTACCTTGTATTCATTTAAAATTATTTAAAAAAAGAATATTTATATATTTTAACAGTAAAATAAAAATGAAATATATGTATATATATTAGCATTCGGATCCGTTTTTATTATTAATTTTCGTGAGATTTCAAAACCCCAGGTTTTAACATCATGTTTTGTTATTTTTTTTTTTGAAAAATGAGTACTTTGTATTGATAAGGATACAAGGTACACCACCTCATAGACCTCATTAAAAAACCTCCCTAAACCTATTTGGAGGAAAGAAAGTGAACCATAAGGTGGAAAGAACAGAAAACCATAAACTAGCTCCTGAGAAAACACACACTGTCTGAGAAACATGAGACTAAAAGAACCCAGTATAAAAGCACAAACCACAAAAAAACTTCCAGATACACCAGTCCACCCCACAAATATGACTGCCTTTACTTCAAAACATCAAACAAGACTCCTCAAGGACAGTGTCTTAGCCTTATGAATGAAAAATCCACTATAACACCTCGAAATCCAAGACTATAATAGCACCAATGACCATCCAAAAAGAGCTCCCTTCACCCTCACATCAACGGCGTCATAATTAGTCCTAAACTCACTACATCACAAGCGATAATCAAAACAAAGGACACACTAAGGGATCATTCAAGACCTCGTAGCCAATCAACATCATGTTTTGTTAAAAGTGTTAATCTAAGTACCATCCAAATTAATAATTCAATGAATTATATCATTAATAATTAAATATTAAGATGTGTTTTGTTTTAATAATTAAATTATATCGTTTAGTATTTGTTATTAATTTTTTTATTTTTTAACCATTGATCCTTTAAATTATTAAGAGTGGGGTGACGACACATTTTTGACGAACGTTAATCTACCAAATATATTTTCTATTCATTTTGCGTTGATGTATGCAAACATGATATTGGCAAAATGAGGGACATAATGTGAATAAAAAAATAGAGAAATATGAATAATGGGAATTTATTTGGAGATTAATTTGTTGTGTTTTTTTTTATTAATTTAAGATCAAATTATAAGAAAATAAAAGTACAAGAAATAAAATGATAAACTTTAGAAAATTTTCCTTTTAAGTGAAACAATGAATTTAAAAAATTAAATAATATTGTTATTTGGACTATAATTCTATTATAAAAGTATAAAAAGAAAATAAAATTATAACAACTCAAAATTTAAAAAAATTAAAAAAAAAATTGTGTGTTTAATTTAATATTAACGTAATATGTATTCATTTTATAATTTGCTGTTGTTCCATTTATTACAATTCTATTTTGCACCATATGATGGTGCGAGCTTCTCCCATCCCAGAAAGCCATCCAAGGGCAAGGTCTCTTCAACATCACTAAGAACACACCTGAAAAGAACCCAATTATGATACGTAAGCCCCTCTCCATTTCAACTGGTCCTTCTATGCCACACCGAGGAAGCCTTTTCTCTTCACGCAAAGCTACCATTAATGTTGTCGGTTCCCATGCAGTGGTTTCCAGTCTCGAACTGCTTCCCCTATTGATCGTCCGCTCCACTCTGTTATCACAGTTTCAGAAAATGAGGATCCTGATATTGTTCAGGAATCTAATGATCTTATGATGGGCGAATCCCCTGATAAAGATGCCCGAACAGTTCCACTACAAGGTGACTTGATCATGTCTCCTAAGATTGCGCAGGTTTTCCACCCGAGCCTTCGAACTTTTCAACTGTTGCAGGTGGATTTTAACATGTTGAGGCAATGTCCGATTGATGGTTGTTTTGTCACCTCTATATCTCTCTTTTATTATGACTCTTAAGCTATTCTGCTAGAATGTTCAACGTTGTGGGCACCCGAAATTCCTCGCTGCTGTTAAGCAATTTTTTAGGGATAATAAGCCTGATCTAGTTGGTATTGTTGAGTCTCGCATCAGTGGTAGTAATGCGGAATCTATTATTATTGCCCTGGATTTTCATCTCTCATAGAGTCGAAGCTACAGATTTTTCTGGTGATATTTGGATCTATTGGTTCAATTCAGTGAAAGTCATTATTCTCCAAAATCACTTCCAAGTTATTCACTACAAGGTTTCAAGTTCTCAAGATATTACTTCCTTCTTAGCTACTATTGTCTATGGTAGCCTAAATGTCATGAAGCATTGCTCTCTTTGGCACCATCTTGGCCATATTGCTTCTTCTTTTCATTTTCATTGGGTCATTCTTGGTGACTTCAATGTAATTGTAATACCTAAATTAATACGGGTGACCCAATCCAATTTGAGGTATCATATTAGGGCCATCGGAGCGACTCACAATAACAATTCTGGAAGAACAATATATTTATTAAACCATTTAAATTCGTAAAACAATTTATAAATAAAAATATAAGTTTAGAAATCATTCATTTATTTAAAAAAGAATTCAACCATGCATAGCATCAAAACAAGTTCCATACTCAAATATAAAAACAAATATGATATGCATACCTCCTAATTACATGTGCATAGTACTCTATAAGCAACATATTACCGATGTCAATAACAACACAAGGTCTATTCTTTAACCTGAAATGGTAAATAAAGGAATGAGCTTTGGAAAAAAACTCGGTAATACAAAACTATCAGATGATGCTATAAGTCTAAAAGATTTATGGTAAAGCATAAAGTTTCAGAATGATCCATGCATCTACAAGTTCCAATTATGATTTGGATATCATTGGTTTATCCTCAAGATAATAGGAAGTCTATAGAACAAATGAATAAAATAGAGATACATTATGAAGAATGAGTTGAAGAGTCTAGTGTGTTTCATCCAAACATACAATTAGTTTCAACCATAATCTAACCTAAATTGTTTTTTGTTTCAAACATATAAATATAACTTGGCCTAACGATTTTATTAACATAGGATGTGACTAATATATATATATAGTTTGGGATGAAATTGAAATGTTAAAAAGGTTTGGTGACCAATTTAGAATGAAGGTCATAGTTTTGGAATAAAATTGAAATATGCAAAAGTTTGAAGACTAATTTAGAATGATAGTCATAGTTTAGGGATTAAATTAGAATATTTAAAAGTTTAGGGACTAATTTAAAATGGGGTCATTCTTTTAGGATATATATATGATGCAATTAACTCTATAATTGTAGTTAAAACACCAAATATTTTTAATGCACTGATTTTATTTTTAAATATGAGGTTAATATATGTTCAAATGATCTAAATTAATTGACAATGAACACTCATATCTCTTTTGGTGCCCGAACCCGGTTAAAAGACTCATTGTTTCATTCAAAGGGAAAATTCCTAAATTTCCATCATTTATACTCTAAAATTGTAATTAAAAAACGATTGGTCATTTTAACTTAAATCCACTAAAAATAGCACAAACTGCCTAGCTTGGATTGTGGATTAACTTTTTTCCGGTTTTATTCCTGCGAACCCTAATAAAAGAAAACTAATACTTGTTCTACAAGATACGACTTAATTCCTGAGTAATTAATATGAGATTGTTTTTTCTTGTTTGCTATTAATTAAGCATTAGCTTTTTGGAGTTAGAAAAAAGAATAATTTTATAGGCAAAGAATATTATACATAAAACTGGAACCACTTTAACCACGCATTCGGTAATGGTATGGAATTATTTGACAACATTAGCTCAATATATAGGTTTTGCTTTAAAACTACTTTGAGTAGTTCCAATTGCAGCCCATCTAATCCCCTCCACTTTTTAATACAAAATTATCATGTTTCAATCACTTTCTACCGTAATAAAATGTGCCTTTTACAACATTTTTTTATCCCTTCAGCCCGGGATGTACCGATCACCACTGCGCTTTGTATTGAAATTATTAGAGTATTCATATGAATG